GCAGTTGTCTAAGCATTTCACTGCATATCATACTGTGTATGACTGTGTATGTGACAAATAAAAAATTTGAATTTGAATTTGAATTTGAGTGGACCCATCGTCTTCCAGCAGGATAATGTCCCACGTCAAAAAGCTCAAATCATCTGAGAATGTTGTTGTTGAACATGTCAATGAGTTTACTGCACCGAAATCTCTGAAGGACGTTTGAATTTGTGCCATGAAGAATTAAGGTAGTTCTGAAGGCAAAGGGGGTGTCCGACCTGGTGTTAGCACGGCGTCTCAGCAGCTGGATAGTGTAGTGGTAAGACTACACACCTTTTGGAGTGGCAATCACATGTTCAATCCCCACCTGGTATCCAGTAAGGGTCCTGGCTAAAAAAACCAAGCCCTGGAATGGCGCAGCTATGTCTTCAGCTTGGACACAAGCATTTCACTACATGTTGTACTCTGTATGATTGTGTACGTGACAAATAAAGTTTGTTTGTGTATCTAATAGTATCTCAGGTTGGACCACCTCGTTTCTAACAGGTGCAATGCATCTACTTGAGCTAACATGTCAGTAATGTTACAACTGAATATAAAAATATAAAAATAAGGAAATTCCTACAACAATCCCATGTTAAAAGAATATAAAAAAGTGTACTGGAATAAAATGTGTGTGGTCATTCCCAGTATCTCTCAAACAATTATGTTTCTTAGCGTCTCTGTCCTTCCTCTGCTGTCTTTCTCTCTGCAGACCATGCAAGCGGGTCGATGCCCGACAGACGAGCTGTCGCTGACTAACTGTGCCGTGGTGAGTGAGAAGGATCTGCAGTCAGGACAGTGAGTACTTCCTATTACCTAATCACCGTCGCATTTATCAATCTGAGCACACACCCGGGCATCTCTCCAATCAGTTATCCAAATACCCACCTGACCGCCCACCTTATCAGCCATTATTCATCCTGGAGACGACAGTCAGGGATCTGATGGAGTGACTTGCAGTGGATGATTATCATTTCACTTTATTATGGAACAATGATAAGTAAAGCTGCAGGAATCTGATGAAAATCTGCACTCAGGTCAAACTGAAGATTCTGTTGTCTGCCATGGGGCACGAGGTGGGTCACATCCTGTACAGGTTCACTTTAGGGCCATCCTGGAGCTTCTGAGGTTATCATAGGTGTGAATTCTAACCCTGTGATGACTCAGAACTCTGTTAAAATCTACACATCTAATACACGGTTCATTGTGTTGCTTTTAAAAAGGGTCAAATCTGATGTGATCCTCAATCCATCCATCTATCCACTTCCCCCTATCCTTTTTCAGGGTCACTGGGGGCCGGAGCCTATCCCAGTTGTCTTAGGGCGAGAGGCAGGCTACACCCTGGACAGGTCGCCAGTCTGTCACAGGGCTTCATAAGTAAAACAATGAAGAATCTGTAGTACACAAAAGACTCTTCCCATTTGTTGGTTGTGTCTGGTGAACCAATAAGGCTGCTCTATCAAGAGATACCTAAAAGTGTGAGAACATGGAAGGTAAAGGCCTAGGGCGCTGGAGCTGGTGATGCTCCCTGATTTATGGTCCCCATTCCAAGTTGAGTGAGTGAGTGATATGCTTTATTGATTAGCATTCAAATATCTCAGTGAAGACAGAACAAAGATCTACCACAAAGCAAGAAAGCATGAGACAAGGCTAATCAAAAGGTATTGGCTGAAGCATTTGCTTATTACGCCCTTTTAACAAAAGATCTTTTTGCATACAGCTCCTGTACACAGGGCTCGAAGCAAATAATAAAACAAAGCAAAAACAAGTTCTTCACTGTCGATGATTGTTGACCACGTGATGAAACCAGGGGAGGTTTTCTTTGTATTTTGGGGTTTGTAATTATTGTCAGTGAAATCCACAACAGTGGGAATGTCGAGTGTCAAACACAGCAGATACAGCTGCATTGTTTCGTGCGTAATTTTGTCTCTCATTGTCACATTCACCTCAGTCTTGTTGGATGGCATTGTGGCATTCTTCACAGTCCTCTTTATATTCCTTTTTTGTGTGTGTTTGCATCATTTTGCACTTGACACACAGTTTTGTAACAGTGGGGAATCTAATTCGTTTTTGCACTTCTTGATAAGCATTTCGACCCTTCGCCTGTCATGTGATTCTTGCTGCATTTGGCATTTTAAAGTGAGAGACAGCAGATCAGTTCAGCAGAA